TGCAGGAAACAGTCAACTAGATTACGATGACGGCGATTAATGTCCAGGATTATGTCACATACAAATGCCGATCAGTGTATAATATTCCAATCCAAACATATTTGCCCCCCTGACTTCGAACAAATGAACCTTTGTGATCAGTACAAACGAACAAATTCAGAGAGTAATATATCATTATTTATATTTGGAAAAACCTAATAAGAATGATGATGAAAAGGTCAATGTCTGACAGAAAGGTCAATGTTTTACAGAAAAGTCAATGTCTTACAGAAAGGTCAATGTCTTACAGAAAGGTCAATGTCCTGAAAGCCTAACAAAACGTATTTTGAAAAGTGACGCTTCAAATTCCCAAACTTGAATTAACGATATTTTGTTTAGTATGTGAGACACATGTAACAGAAACATTTGAAATTTGAAAATCATGTCCTTGGAAGAGGATGATAATTTGATACACCAGCTGAATTAACATCCTCCTTCCAGGGATAATAATTAAAAGCTATGCATGACACATACAGATTGCTAGAGTTATATACAGGTGAATACACTCAAGAAAATATTCCCTTGAGAAAGGCTGGTAACATATTTCCACAGTGCATAGCTTAGTATGAATTATTGAGTAATTTGATATGAAAACTATGAAATTATCATTTAGCAAATGTTAACAAGGTTATTAATTAATATCAGAATTTCAAATCATTTTATTTTGTCATTGTTATTGCATCACCTCTTGGTACGTTACATTTTTCCCACCATAATTCCCATGACAAAAAATTAAGCGTTATTTCAGGAATAACATAGCGTTTATGCCAGATAAAATAGAACATTTTCATTGGTCAATTGATACCACATGGTGCCAGCATGTCAAGATTAATTTAAACATGACATGTATATTTCTTAAAATACATTTTTTATAAATATTTCAAATTTCATGCTGGGTACCGATGACCTCCAATGACCTAAGCACCATGTATGCAGTCTGATGTTACTCTTCAAAAGTGTAATTTGACACTCACAAATTAACCTATTAAATTTTTTTTCATTTTCAACAACAAAACCACAGACATGATGAAATAACATCTACTGTAAAATAATTTATTTTAGTTGAATTTAATTTTCATTGAAAAGTCTCTTTGGATGTTTTGTATGGAATTTATTTTCACTGAATTGCATGTAAAATCTAAAAAAAAAAAAGTATATTCCCTGGATTTTATTTTCACTGAATTATTCCTTCAGCAAAAATAGCAAAAATAAAATCCAACAGAAATAAAGTTTTTACAGTAGCTTGTTTTCTCAGCTATTACAGCTGTGATTAGTCAACATATGGCAATTGTGATATTTTTTTCAAAAATGGTGAAAATGAGACAAAAATAGTTGAACCAACATTTAAAAATGATCTTATAATTGAATATTTTTTTAAAACTAGTTTTAGTCAGACTCACCAACTGCTACAATAACAACCATGGAATGTTTCCAAAAACACAATCTATTTTTGCATAGACCCGCAATAACATGATTATTAAAATTGAAAATAAAGTGAAAATTGAAATATTTTAAAAACTAAAATGATATAACTTTTACTTTTTAGATTATTCTCTTTTTACTAAAGAAAACTATCTAGTGAAAAGAAAACCCAGTGAAAAACTTCAACTTTTTTTTTATTAATATAGTAGTGTCAGATTCCAGTTATTTATAAAATATATTTTTTAATTGTTTTAATTTTAGTATGACAGGGCTGTGTGGCCATCTCTCTATCAAATAGAAATGTTAATGCTCTATCCTGGTGTCAACCAGGCTCGGTCGAACACAAGCACCTGCCTTAACCAAGGTTCCCCCAAAGTCGCATTCGTTAGTGAATGAATTTCGGCCAGTGGAATTGGCCTTCCCATTGACCCTTTTGATGTTCAGCCTAAGGTAGGATTTGAACTAGGGTCTATCAATCATGAGTCTGATGCGACAATCACTATGCTACCAATGACCAATACACTTGTTACAAAGTTACAAAGTCATCCAAGTGGATTCACTGACATGCAGCAGGTACATCTGTGAGTTATTATTCATAAGTAATATAATTATGATATTAAATTTAACAGTGTTTAAGGTAGAAACCTACTCATGAATTCAAATACCCAGAATGTATTCATTTTTTAATAAACTGCACTTCTGGACAATATGAAAATATTGACTAAAAAAAGTTGGGGGTCACCAGCTTAATTTTTGAGAAAATGATGGTTGTATTTTAGTGGACACTGGCCATTTTATCAGTATTATAATGCTTTTACCATAGGTTCATATGACAGAGATATTACGCCATATCTCAAATTATAGCCTGGTGACATCTTATTAGAAACTAACCAAATTGGTTAACAACTTCCAGATTCATATCATAACCACAATACTTAGCCCATGTTACCATAGACTTTTGTAGATATAATATAGAAATACTTGCACCATACAAACCAATGAAAAAAGACGAAAATAATTTTCTACAAAAACTCTAATTATGTTTAATAATCAATCATCAATTCAGTCCAAACTGCCTTAAAAATAATCTTCCATTTAGTAGTGAAGAGATCGGGAACAACATTACACACTAAATGTTACACTTGCATGGCTGTACATTTGAATCTAAAATTAAATTCTTAACCAGACATTTTGCATTCTTAGGTTTTTCAATAGATTTTCAATTCTACTACAACCCAAGTTTTAATAATTCATATACATGTTGATATTCAGCACATTTTGCATTAAGTTGAACCAAGTAATTTAAAGTCGATAAAGAAATAAATGAAACAACAAAACCAAACTCCAGCATGAAAAGTCTGACTACATGCACCTACCTTGATAGTGATACAGTGTATCAAAACAAGTTTAGTAGTTGAGAAAGTGAACGCAGACAGATCACAGCACGCACTGGATACTGAAACTGAAGACTTAAAAAAAGCATCCCAGTGCTTGGCGAAATACTATCCCACATCGAAACATATGTCCTCATTTACTAATGGGTATCCAAGTCAGACGCAACAAAAACGTGTGCCGTAATAAATATAGCCAGCAGACTGTTATTACTGCTACAGTATATTAGCTAGCCTCCCTGCCAGCTAGTCCGTAATTCACAGGACATAACATAGTTACATATATGTTTCATGCCAGTTAGAGTATTACTAGACGTAAGCTAAAGGGTTCCAGTTAGTAGTTTTCCTAGACATCAACTAAGGGGTCCTTATTAATATTCGGAAGGTTTTGTCTCATCTGCTGCATAAACTTTGAAAGACAAAATTAGGGGATTGTCAATTTTGTTTTGGGGGGTGTCAATGTAGGTTCTGTTTTTAGTAATGACAATCCCCCTCCTTCTAGTGTAATCTTCAAAATTTGTTCCACATTCTTAACAGATTAGGAAAACGATAATTGTTTCATTTTTATTTTGATATTATCTCCTACATTTGCTGGCAAAATTTGAGATTTAATGCGCAGGGAATTACAATAATGCTTATGTTTATGTTTATCTACAAGATTTTTGATTAAAAGTGAAATAGGTTAGATGTAAAAAAATAAATTTTTTGATACAAATACATTTGAAATGTGGCTTTAATCAATGATAGCCAAATATCATTAATAAAATCTATCATATTAATTTTTGTTTGTCAAAAAGTTTTCAAAATTTAATCTAAAACAAAGTGAGCAATTTTTTTTGGAAAAAATATCATAAAATTACTTGTTATAAAAAAACTAGTGAACATGTACTAAACCTGTCTATATCAAACACTGCATAGCGTACAAGCTTTGATACAGTCTAGAAAAACACAATCAACTGTACAAACTGATAATAAAAATAAATGTTTACTATATGAGGCAGTCATCTTGATTATGATTACGAAGTTAAGAAGCAGGTTTATTTAGGAGGGTTTATTAAATTTTCTGTTTACCAAACAATCTGTTGGGATCACATTAAACCAACTACTTAACTATTTAAATTTGAACGCAAACATCATTTTTGTGTGGAAATTTTCTTGCATATGAACACTTCATTTCAAGAAGAACATAGAACAGTTTTTCAGGATATTTAAATCCCAAATTGTCATTCAACTTCAAAGCAGTCTTTGATTGGTTCCTGAGTTATGACGTTCAGTGAATGCAATGGTTTGTAAAAATGTATGATTACCTTTATTGTGGTTGAATGTACAAAAAAATAACTAGAATTATTAGACTTTATTCAAAACATTTGTACTGATCTTTAGACTTGGAATAGTGAGTACCCCAAGTAGTGTTAATGTCTTATCCAATAACCGTTTTGATGGCAAAGTTGAGTTTTGTTACTTTTCACATCCATTTGGTCAAAATTTAACCAAAAAATGAGGAAAAATACAAAACATGATCAACATACTGAGATCACTCGACTGTGCAACACATATACATAGCACCCTCAGTGGCCAACATTTCAATGCCTTTGTTTTTATTGAAACATATTCTCAAATTTTCAGGTGGCAATAATTTATAAATGTCCTAAATGAAAAATCAAAAAATTATAATTGATGATGAAATTGTTCCACTAAAAACACCAGGATGTGTGACCTTCAGGGGTCATGCACAGTATTACAAACTTCTATAACTTGACTGGCAGGATTTTGAGTAGGTGGTCAGAAAATTGGAAATGACGCTATCTATAAAGTATGTCATTAAACAAGTGTCCGTTGTCAAAGCAGATAATATTTTATCATAACCCTGATCAGGTTAAATTCAAAGCAGTCTCAGAAAATTCTAATTTGGCAACATAGCATACAAAGCTAAACACAGTTTATAACTATCAACACATAGAGCTGTGTGAATACTACACGTATACTAAGAAGCAGATATGAACATTTCTGACAAATGGATTTGAAAAGTTAGTTGGATTTCACTCATCTTGGTCATTCAACCCTACCAACAGTACTAGAGTCTCTCGCATCTCAAGTTTCTAAATAACAAGTCTAATTCATACAAGTAATCATTTGTAAGTGTCCTACCTCATTCTTTGTTTTGTATTTCTTCTTTTCTTTCTTTTCTTCCTTTTTCCGTTCTTTTTCCTTCTTTTTGTCCTCTTTGTCCTCTTTCCTTGATTCAAAAGAAGAGACATTACATAAGATGAGGCTACAGTATAGGTCAACACAGGTTGTTGGTTGAAAACAAAATTTACCATTTCACAAACGTTAACTCATTTAGAATAATGTTAATATTCCAATAATAGGCTCTGGTCTACTCGCTTCTTTCCATTCTAAACACAATTTCATGCAGCGTTATTGGCTTGCCAGATGAAATAAAAAGACGACTAGTTTTCCCACAGCATATTTCACATAAGACACATATTAATTATTATTATACATATGTCACCATAATGTCATAGGTTAAAGTGTGCTGTAATTTTGCGGCATTGCACTGGGTATTTTCATCCTACTATATTAGAAAAAAGAAAACACAGAGCTTTGGACTTTGCTATAGGCGGATACTACGTATAAGCTGGACAGAAAAGATAACTAATGAAGAAGTACTGCAAAGAATAAATTGTGTAAACATACTGCTCAACATCAAGAATAAAAGGAAACTAGCCTTCCTTCAAATGGTTAAGGAGTGATAGTTTGGACAAGAGATTGTTGATGGGCATGGGAATGGCAAACAGAGGAAGGGGAAGGCCGAAGACGCTACTGAGTGGCAATATAAAGGAAATGTGTGGGCTTACAATGGTTAGAGCACAAAGTGGCACAGGGTCGAGATCACTGGAGCCTATTTGTGAAGAGGGCCATGGCTGTTTAAGTATGAACAGTCCATTGTTGATGATGATATTTAATATTAATTTCATGGAAATGCATTTGTGAATATTCACATATCAGAGAAGCAAATTCAGAAATATGAATATCATTTTCATGTTTTGTTTGTATATTCAGCCCATCCTCACAAACATTCCTGAAGCTGACCTTGCAAGCCCAGTCTTCTTTGATACATATTGTCCAAATTGATAAACTTGATATATTCGTCATTATTGATGATATATTCAATATAACACTTTTAGCTCCATACTGCAGTACCGGCCGCCAACTCAACAGGTGTTGTACATGTAAGTGCCACAATTAACTATCTCAGTAATTTTGAGTCAATGCCATTGTGCATGGCCTGCATATTTATGCCTCTCGTCAGCGATATTGTGCATGATGAATAGTGGCCGTCATATTTATGCCTTTTGTCAGTGCCATTGTGCGTGTTAACTAGTGGTCAGCATATTTACACCTCTCTTCCGCGCCTTGTGCGTGTTGAATAATGGCCGGCAAGTTTACACCTCTCGTCAGTGCCATTGTTGCTGTTATCTAGTTGCCGGCATATTTACGTCTCTCGTCAGTGCCATTGTTGCTGTTATCTAATTGCCGGCATATTTACGTCTCTCGTCAGTGCCATTGTGCAAGTTGAATAGTGGCCGGCATATTTACGCCTCTTCGTCAGCGCCATTGTGTGTGTTAACTAGTGGCCAGCATGTTTGCCTCTTGTCAGCGCCATTGTGTGTGTTAACTAGTGGCCAGCATGTTTACGCCTCTCTTCCGCGCCAATGTTTGTGTTGAATAGTGGCCGGCATATTTACGCTTCTCGTCAGCCCCATTGTGCATGTTAACTA